AAATAACTTATCCTATTTTATTTTTTATTTTAATTTTTTTTCCATTTTTTGGCAAATAACTTATTTAATGATTTATTTTCATTGTCACCCCGATCTTCGGTCTGCAGTCGGGGGTACTAGGTTCCGATCCTGTCCATATGTCGCTTGGTTGCAAGATAGGGTTTGGAGAAGGTTATGACAACAACGTATGACAGAAGTGTCAAAAAGTATCTTCTGTCAAATAGGACACCAAAAAGAAAAACCTTGCCTTGGGTTATCAAGGGTTACAAACCAATTACTATGCTTTGTGTGTTTTACTGAAACTTTGAAAAAGGGTCGGAGTTACAGTAACCATTTACTGACGATACTACGCAAGAAAACAAAAAGTGCTAACCAACATGATCATTTTTCAAAAAACTGGAACACTTGTTATTTAGAAAGTAGTTAGCCTTTGTTAGTAAGTAAGAGACATAAAACATCTAAGAAAGTTTTTAAGCTCCCAGGGTCTGCATATATATATATATATATATATATATCAATCCTAGTGGCTGCAGAGTGGCGGGTGCCACTGGCCACTTAAGCAATAACATCCCAATAATATAACAACAATCTACTTAGAGATACTATAAATATATCATTTGCCAAAATATGGCAAGAATAATGAGTAAGAAATAAAGAAACAGAAGTTATTTAACGAAAAACAGCTTTTTTCTGTCAACATAGTGGGTGCGTAGTGGCCAGTGCCAGCAGAGGCTGTCACCATAGTGGGTGCGTAGTGGCCATTGCCAGCAGAGACTGTCAACATAGTGGCTGTGTAGTGGCCAGTGCCAGCAGAGGCTGTCACCCTAGTGGCTGTGTAGTGGGCGATGCCAGCAGAGGCTGTCACCAGAGTGACTGCGTAGTGGCCGGTGCCAGCAGAGACTGTCACCATAGTGGCTGCGTAGTGGCCGGTGCCAGCAGAGACTGTCACCATAGTGGCTGCGTAGTGCCAGGTGCCAGCAGAAACTGTCAACGTAGTAGCCGGTGTCAGTAGAGACTGTCACCATAGTGGCTGCGTAGGGGCCGGTGCCAGCAGAGACTGTCACCATAGTGGCTGTGTAGGGGCCGGTGCCAGCAGAGACTGTCACCACAGTGGCTGCGTAGTGCCCGGTGCCAGCAGAAACTGTCAACGTAGTGGCCGGTGTCAGTAGAGACTGTCACCATAGTGGCTGCGTAGGGGCCGTTGCCAGCAGAGACTGTCACCATAGTGGCTGCGTAGGGGCCGGTGCCAGCAGAGACTGTCACCATAGTGGCTGCGTAGTGCCCGGTGCCAGCAGAAA